AGGTATGCACCTCGGTCTTCTACATGATGACAAAGCGCTGAGTGCCAAGTGTTTGGATGTGGCCATGGTCATGATGGCCCATTCACGCTGATGGCAGCGTATGTCCAATCGGTTCCAGTGTCAGATGGTGCCTGCAGAATCTTCGAGGAAAAGAAGTGGTGTTTGGATGTAAATTCGATGTGAAAAGTGCGAAAGCCTTGGTGGGTCGAGCTTGTTTATGTCTCGAGGTCTACAGTCGTGGCGCCGAACACCAGCATGAGGCGCCTGTCAGCTCTGCAATGCTGTTGGTGCTCCCACCAAGAATATCCAAGAATGGCCCACAGGATGCCGATCATTGGCATCCAGGCATTTTGTTTCGGAATTTGTTCTGCCCTGTGCAGCTGTGATCTGCCAAGCGCCATTGGCAGGTGATCTAAGGAAAGCACAGCAGGACCTGAAAGATAATCTAGCAGTTCGGATAGTTTGGGAGCCCAAAGTTCTTCATGGTTTGGACACACAAAGAACATCCAAGAACGATCACTTTGTGGAGGAAGCCCACTGGGGTCAAAAGAAGCAAAAGCAAAGGCGGGCCTGGGCCGCTTGCGAACGATGTTCATGAACACATGCCTGTTGAGCGATCAATGCCCTCAATCATCCAAAGCCTTCCTCAGCGACCACCGGAAGGCAGAAAAAGAAGAAGGCTCCTTGGAGGGAAGAGACACATTTGGTGCAGCAGCTACTTAGCAGGGAGCTGGTGACTTGGGAAAAAACAGGTCAGGTGCAGAAAAAGGCTACAGTCTTCGCTTGCTTCGACTGAAATAACACGAGATAAACAGGGGTATACAAAATGTGGGCCATCGAACCGTGCGGTCAAAGCAGCAAATGTGAAGGCCCCCCTTTGAAGAGCACTCATCAATTGGGGCGGAAGAAAGGGAAGTCTTAGCACGTGCACGTGCTGCACTCAGCTTTATGCGGCTTTATATGATTGAATCACTTGGCACCACTGGTGAAGAGTTGCCCCATGCAACAAGTTGCAAGTCAGGACGCGCAGAGCTCTCTGCAGAGAAGGAGGCTGAGGTGCTTCAGCATATTCTCATGTCACACACCTAAACAATATAAATATAAAATGTATAATATACTGTACATATATATTATATGATTTGAAATATTTCCTTGTCTGTAAAGGTCTGTAAGACATTCAGGGGAATGGAAAGCAAGGAGGTACCAAGAGTGAACGTGCCAATCATGCTTACTTGGCTCAACAAGGGCTGCCCAATTATGTGGCAGAAACACTGAGGGAGCTGCCATGCAGCCTGCCTCCGAAGAAAAGAGCTACGCGGTTGGTATTGACCTTGGGACAACCTACTCATGCGTTGGAGTTTACAAAGATGGTGAAGTTCAGATCATTGCGAATGATCAAGGGAACAGAACAACTCCGTCATACGTAGCTTGGACGGAGCAGGAGAGGTTGCTGGGAGATGCGGCGAAGAACCAGGTTGCAAGCAATCCGACCAACACAGTCTTTGATGCCAAGAGGCTGATTGGGCGACGATTTGATGACCCGATTGTGCAGGCAGACTTAAAACTTTGGCCTTTTAAGGTCGTCTCTGATGGCACAAAGGATGACAAGCCATTGATTGAAATCTTTTACCAGGGAGTGGCGAAGAAGTTTCACCCCGAGGAGATCTCCTCGATGATTTTGACAAAGATGAAGCAGACGGCAGAGGCCTATTTGGGTCACCGGGTCCGGGAAGCAGTGATCACCGTGCCGGCCTATTTTAATGATGCGCAGCGACAAGCCACCAAAGATGCTGGTGAGATTGCAGGTCTTCGTGTGCTGCGAATCGTAAACGAACCGACTGCTGCAGCCATTGCCTATGGACTTGACAAGTCGACCAGTGCCCAGAAAGAGACCCACATTTTGGTCTTTGACATGGGTGGCGGGACTTTTGATGTCTCAGTGCTTGCAATCCAAGAGTCCGTTTTTGAGGTGAAAGCAACTGCAGGTGAGGTGATGCGATGATATGGGGTGGTGAGGTTTTGTTTCTTTCCGCGTTCTTCTTTGGGGGGGTTTGCAATTTTAAGAGGGAACACTTCCCTAATCGAAACCCGAATCCAACCCTTCGGGCAACCTCCGAACACCTGGAGGTGACCCTCATCTTGGTGGTGAAGACTTTGACAATCGAATTTTGAGTCATTGCATTGCAGATTTTCGTAGGAAGTACCAGTCGGACCCCACTCGCAACCAGCGTGCCGTGCGGCGCTTGCGAACGCAGTGTGAGCGTGCTAAGAGGTTGCTGTCCACACAAACATCTGTGACAATTGAAGTGGATTCGCTACATGAAGGAAACGACTTTAGCATTCGCCTCTCCAGGGCAAAGTTTGAAGAGCTTTGCCTCGATTATTTCAAGAAGGCCATGGAGCCAGTGGAGCAGTGCCTGAAAGACAGCAACTTGCCGCAGAAGGCCATTTCTGATATTGTGATGGTCGGCGGCTCAACTAGAATTCCCAAGGTGCAGGAGCTTATTAAGGCTTTCTTCCATGGAAAGGAGCTGTGCAAGTCCATCAATCCAGACGAAGCTGTAGCATATGGAGCCGCTGTCCAGGCGGCCATTGTGTCAGGACATGGCAGTGAAGAAGTTCAGAACATGCTGCTGCTAGTTGCTTGGCTGACCAGTGGTTTTTTAGGTACCTGTGGAAAGAAACAACACACAAGTACTTGTGGGGGTGGGATGTGACAGATTTCTTCTCGTTTGCTCCATTTGTCTCTCGGCATGTTTGACATAATATACCCCTCGAGATAAAACGCCCCCCGCGCGTCTTTGCACGTCCTTTGGTGGATTTTCCAGGATGTTGCTCCACTCTCCTTGGGCATTGAGACGGCAGGCGGCATGATGCAAGTCCTGATTGAGCGAAATTCCACAGTGCCAACCAGCAAGAGCCAAGATTTCACGACCTTTGAGGACTATCAAGACCATGTGGACATTTCAGTCTACGAAGGGGAACGGGCCATGGTCAAAGACAACAACTTCTTGGGCAAGTTTACCTTGAAGGACATCCCCAAGTCTTTACGCGGCGTCCCCAAAATCCAAGTCACCTTCACCATAGACACCAACGGGATTCTGCAGGTGAGCGCAGAAGATGCGAAGTCCAATAAGAAGAGCGAGATCCAGATTGCCAACGAGAAGGGCCGCTTAACGCAAAATGATATTCAAAAGATGCTGCAGGAGGCAGAAAAGTACAAAGGTGAAGATGAGATTAGCAAAGGCGACATGCTGGCCAAAGAAGAGCTCAAAGTTTACTTCCAGCGGTTTGATAAAGGCATCCAGGAGCCTTTTGCATGGCATGGTAGTTCTGTCACCCAGGCGAACCACCATGTTTACCAAGCTGGCTGTTCGGGGGGCTTTGATTTTGACACATGGACAATGGACAGACCTCAGCTGTCAGGGTTTGCGACCTGTTGTGACATGTTGTGACCCGATGCAACCAACACACCGTTGGGGCACATCCCAAATCTAGACTCACCAAGAGCTTCGCCTCGGACCGTGGGAGTCGGAGATGACCAGTACCACTCCTGAGTGGGACCGGCAAGGTGAAACGACTTGATCACAAGTAGAGCCGGATCTACCGTGACTTGACCGACATACTTTGTGAAGTGTTCGACGCTGACGTTGGCAAATAAGGCCAAATAGCAGTCAATAGCAGGCCAACATTGAATTATATACATTCCTTGCTGCTGGGAGGACCTTGATGCGAGCAAGTTGCAGGAGCAAGATCGAGAACGTCTTGAAAAAAAAAGCTGGCAGATGCGTACCACTGGCTAGAGCATGATGGCCTCAAGGCAGACCTGACAGAACATGAGCTTCCATAATTTGTCAAGAAGCGAAAAGAAAGAGAAGGGACTGTTGTGAGCATGTGATTTTACAAGATTTAATCATGATTGATTCTAGTAACTATAGTAACCCATTGTTAAGATGATGTTACTTCAACATGCTGTTGTCTTGAGAAAATGTCATCTTAAGGTAACTTCATCTTGTGAGGTGCATACGGCATACATGATTTCCCAAGCCCTGAGACACTTTTGAACTTCATGCCTTGAACTATGAATAACATACCTCACATTATGAGAAGTGTCATATGTGTGCCGCAATGTGACATGCACAAATCAATCTCATGATCTGAGAGGTGCACCTTTGCATTTCGTGGGTTAACATGGTTAACAAATGAATAACTGATCTCACACTGTAAGAAGCTCAGATGTATGTCAAAGAATAGGATGCACAGACCAGTTCTCATGTTATGAGTTTAGCAGCATATATCTCATAGTATCTCATATATACTGTCACATCAATAACCCTGCATTTCAGGAATTGAACTGTCAACAACGTATCTCACACTATGATACAGTTCACATGTATGTCACAGTGGGGGATGCACAGATCAACTCTCATACTCTGAGATTAGGACATTGTCATGTCAAATTTTGAAATAGGAACCATGTACCATTGTGTTGAATTGCGCATGTTTGTCACAGTGATGTCGCTGCACAAATGATTTCGAATGCTTTGAGATGTGACAATATGAGATGCATGCTAATCCCAGGGCGTGAGAGTTGACAATGTGCAGCTCATACGGTGATATAGATATGCAATTCAACCATGTGCGAGAGAAGTTCATATCAGATCATGAGCACCAATCTCTGAATATCATACCGTGCCATAAAGTCAAAATGCATTTCTTGGTGGGACATATGATTTTATTGTTAGGATCTATAGAAAGGTTATATAGATGTATGTCAAAGTCTGAGATGCACAACTCAGTTCTCAGGTCATGAGATTAGCAGCGTGTATCTCATAGTATCTCATATTGTCACATCACCAACTGTGCATCACCAAGGGTGGACATATGAACTCAGTATCCCAGGCTACCAGGCTACCAGGTCTCATGATGTGAGAGAGATGTATGTCACAAGATGTTCATAAAGCACACCTGTTACTAGTAGCTTAGTAGCTTTTTGTTCAGTTCTCACTATTTGACCGGTGAATCCTTGCAGAGGATTTGACAGGATCCCACACCGTGAGAAGCTCAGATAGATCACATCTTGGTCTTCACTCGCACTATGCAGGGTGGGTTCGGCTCGATCGTCAGATAGACGGTTCGGTTCCTTGTTTATAGAATTGGATTGCCAGGAATAGGTTTGGGTTCGGAGCGTGTCAGTTCGTGGTCCGGTTCGTTTCGATTCGGTTCCCATCACTGGACTCGCACGCGCAAAAGCCCCAACAGGTGCATCGCTATTATATAGTAACAAGGGCATTACTACTAGTAGCTAGAAGCTACTAGTAACAAGGGCATCGCTACTAGTAACAAAAAAAACATTTCTTTTTGATTGAAATCTGGGGCGCCCACGCAAAAGGCCTGTCCGAAGGTCGTGAGTTCGAATCCCGCTGGCCACTGGCCCATCAAACCTTGAGCTCTGCCCTACAACCCCCCCAATCCAGCAGCAGCTTGACGCAAAACAGTTTTGCTGCATTGCCTGCACTTGTCTCACTGTCAGATCCCACGGACAGCATTGCTGTGAGCTGCTACCATTCGGCTGTCATATCGTCACACTGTCACACTGTCATCGCGCCGGGAGCTGCCGGCTTGGCAGGGCACACACACACACACCCAGTCAGTGGATACCCTAACCTTGTGGGAGCACCGCTTCGTGAGCGGCTCGATTCCTTGGTTATCGATTCCTTCGATTCAATACCACTCCGCTTCACGGTTTGCTTCGAGCGATCCGTTTCGGGGGCGCTTCGGAGGCGGTCCGGTCCGATTCCTGATTCGATTCAGAACACCCCTGACTATGGGATAGATCACATGTTTGTGACATAATATGCGCAGATCAATTCTCATAATTGTCTTAACATGATATGAAGTATGATGTATATCTCACTCTAGGATGCAAGGATTATGTTACATAGTTTGGAACAACCAACAATGTACAGATGAATGTGGCCGGATATCACTCAGACTAGCCGGGACTATTATGGATCCTGGATCACTCTTGACTAGTATGGATGGGTCATAATTACACCCCAAAAAAGAAACAATGTTTTCCATACGAGTCTCATCAACCAAGTAGTCCCCAAATCATCGTTTGTTTTGGTTTCCGCAGAGGGTAGAGGCATGTTGTCAGCGGCGATTTCTGCACCAGGAGAACAACTCAAGACAATTGTGAGCAGAAATCACACGCTCACAACTGTCCTTTGTGAAACGAAACTGGGTGAGATGCGAAAAAAGGAAGAGTTGGAGTTGTCCATTGCAAAAAACAAATGCATAAAAATAGAACATACGAAGTTGGAGTTGTGCCCTTTGCCTGTTTGCTTCGCACAGGCCGGAAAGCCAGAATTCGAGGCCAAGCAGAAAGAACTGCAGGCTGTCATGAATACCGAGACTTGGACCTTTGCTGGGCACCTTCATTCAGCTCTATATAGGAATGATTGGGAATGGAGAGCTGCTTTATTGGTTTGTAGAGAGTTTTGAGAGTAAGTAATGATATGATGTGAGTGACCTCAAAAGTGCAGGCCTTGTTTCATGAGTTGAGGCAAGGTGACGTTTCGTTTCTCCCACCATGCCTGCCAAGGTCATGTTGAAGATCAACCGTGCACAGTCCGAATTCTGGGATCAGCAAGTGGTCCACCACGAAGGTGAGAAAACCATTGACAAGGGAGGCTTCATCCTACATTGTGGCGTGGATATCCGGGATTTGATTGAAGAGCCTCAATGACCGAAAGCAGACGTTCCAGAGAGCTCTTGCATCCATGTGCCACATGCGCTGGCTTCACACGCATTCTTGGGACATATGCTTTGCGTCAACCACTTGGAGATCAGATTGCTCGGTGGAGCGAGGCCCGGTGCAGGTTGTACATAGTAGATCTTCAGGAGGGCACGGTGGACGCCAAGCCGCTGCCCATGTGCGAAAACATGAGTGACCAGGCAAATCGATAATCCATATGGAGCAAACATGCGCAAACATGAGGAACATATGTGAATCTTCCATTTGTGAAGGCTTTGCACTTGTGGGAGTTCTTGTCATTTGGCGGGAGGCTCCTGGAGTGCCCCGATTGCTGGATGACACCCATGGCTGGGAAGAGGCCTTCAGGGAAAGCATACAACTTGTCAGGAGCGTCTTGGTGTGGCCAGGTTGTCGCTGATGAGCACCTGTGTAGCTGGATGTCGATTCAAAGGCTCAACGGTTTTAGCATGTCTTAGCCAGCTGCGGCCCTAGACTGTGCCACTGTTCTATGTAATTCTACTTGGAGGTCCAATCCAGCCGTGCTGGAGGAGGACTTCCAGATTTTCTTGGTTCCTCGGTTGCCTTGCCTTCTTGTCCTGCCACACGTGAACATTCATAGCTTTGTGTGTTTGTGCCGCGCTGTTTCATTTGGTGGTCTTTTTGGCTCATCATGCTCATTTTGGCTCAGGACCGCGCACCGTGGAAGGACACGACACTGAGATTGAGTAATTTAGAGCTTCTGTCACCAAGAGGCAATCAGTAGAACAGAAGAGCCAGTTAATTTGCTGTGGAAAAGAGTGAAGCTTGCAGCGCAGGAACTCGTTGGAAGATCCGGAGAGGCAGATGTGAAAGCTCGTGTTTGACCAGAAGCTTCAATGGTCAGCTGAGGCCAAGCAGAAGACTGTTTGGATGGTGGCGCCAGGCTGTCAGTGTAGCCAACTCAGATCTTGAATTGTTCATACTGCCCAGATCCATCCTGGTCCCATGAAGATTTCAGCTTGCACTGCAAGCTTACCTCATTTTCCACCATACCCCTTTCTGACTCTATGTCACTGTGTCTCACTTCCATTCTTGAATTGTGCAAGCCTGAAACGGAATCCTTCAGGTGAACACCGGCGCAGCCATGGACCCCTGCATCCTGTGGTGATGCCAGAATGGATGCCGCTCAGCCATGCTTGTTCCCCGGGACCCCACCGTAGAATTTCAATCATGCATTGCCGTGCCTGGAGCTAATTACATAAGAGATGCTCGTGTGCTTTGCTGTGCTCCTTGCAGCCATTTTTGGCCAAAAGGCTGCGCCCAGAGGCGCGAGGGAAAGCAATGGACCCGCAGGTCATCTTGACAACGCTAAGTAACCTTGATGTGTCTTGGCCTTGATCTGCATGATTATATAATTAGATGATGAGAGGACTTGCAACGAAAGCGAGCTCCGAAGGAGGTCTGCTGAAGTCTTCGTTTACAAGGGAAGGCTCAGAATTGACAGTTCCAAAGGACCCAATGTTTCTAATAGCTTCTTGTTACTACTAGTAAGGCACTTGCTCCTAGCAGCGATGCACTTGTTACTAGCAGCTTATTGTTTCTAATCACTAGAAAAGATCCCCCCACTTTACGTGATAGAATCAATTGGGCGTTTGAGCACGTGTCACACAAGTCTTGTTGGTGACACTGGCACTGAAGCATCACAGAGCACACCATCGTCTCCATTGAATGATAGTCATTCTCTTGTGGATGTTGGTGGAATTCTCGCATTTGTTCCGGCTTCCCTTGCTCGTTTGAGCCTAGGACAGCATTCTGGCAACAGTCCTGACACAATTAGTGCAGAGCAAGCCGGAGCTGGCTCCAGGGCTAGTGAATGCTCCTTGGCTTGATCCGTCTTTGTTTGGCTTTGTGCACCCTGTCAAGTTTCAGCTTGACTGGCTGGAGTAGTTTCTTTGTCATGAAACTTCTGAGGTATGCGTTCCAGATTTGACCTTCGCACCTAGCAAGGGCTTGACAGAGAAGCGGTGTATGGGAACTGTCAAGAAATTGAGTCCCGTGCTCTTC